GATGGTCATGTAGTCACATAGTTATTAGAATGGCAGCTGTCCCACAGTCACCTACTGTGAACATGGTGTGGAGGCACATGGAAATGGAGCATCGTCACATTGCACACGTGTCAGGATTGGCAGAAAGGGAACAGTAGCTTTAAAGTAAAAAGTAGTGACTTTTGCCAACTGGATCGTGAGCCCTGCACCTGAATGCATCATTTATAGACACCAGTGGAGGATACAAGCTGCTGCTTATAATTAAATAGACCTCCAGAGCTAACATGCTAAGAGCAAGTACATTACGTCTCCTGCTGTGGCACTTCTGGGTAACGTTCAGATTCGTCCTATCATGAGTCTCAATTTTAAACCCAAAGCAAGTACACGGCTGAAAGGCTGAAGCCAATCACTGAAAATGTTCAAGTCTTTAAACGTCAATCCCTAATTGCTGTTTAATTTTCTGTCAGCTGACTAATGGTTGAATGTACAGCTAATTTCAGCTGTAATTGTGAAGTGATGATATTAAATGAATTCTCAGAGTGAATTGCATTTGACAAAACTGTCTGCAGCTTAGTTGTGATAAAACATGAAGATGCTCCTGCACTGTTTTTGAGCTCTGCTTGCTTCTGATGAAGTGTATATTTGAGCAAAGCAGGGCATGACACAAACAGCTGGAGTTGATGAAAGAGATGAAATGATTAGAACGTGATGGCTGAAGATCAGGGTCACTTCCTTGTGTTTTCCTGGTCCTCTTGGGATGTTTTTCCCAGTTCATGTTATTTTTATATTTCCTCAAGTGAGCTTTTTTTTTTTCTTTCTTTCTTTTTCTTTTTCTTTTTTTTTTTAAATCACATGACGTCCCATCTCACCTCCTCCTCCCGTGTTCTCGCTTGTTTTTGTCCCGGCTCCTCTGGGGCCTCTTGTTCGTGGCTGTGTAGAGCGCAGCCTTGAGCGAGTCTTGACATTTGAGGCGCTGCTTGCAGAGGCGGGTGGGGCAGAGGTGAAGTGACTGGACTGTGGCGCGGGGGGACAATAAGGCAGACGAGGAGATCCCAGCTGCATTACTAATGAATTGTCTTTTTTTTTTTTTGGACTTGGTGCACCTGGTCCAACAAAGTTGAAACTCAAATGCAGTGTGCCAAACTTCCAGAAATGGAGGGATTCATTGTTTGCGAGCTGTTGTTAGCTTTTAGTTGGAAAGGTAGATTTCCCCACAGAGCCAGTCAGTTCCTTTCAGTCCAAAAAGCTTTAGAAAAAAGCTGGAAGAAAGCCATCATCTTATGTGTCATTCTGTCCTCTCTTTCAGTACACCCTGTACGCTGACAGTTAGGAAAGCAGTGAACAGTTTTTATATTAAATAATTAGACTGACACTTTGCTTCTTTAGGGCGAACAGGCTAATCACAAATGGTGCATCTTTCTAATTAAAACTATCAGTCATCAGCAGATAAGTGAATATAGTGATGGGCAAACACATGGATTTTAACAAGTGAATGTGGAATTTACCACCTCGCACCTCATGTGTCTTGCTTAATTGCATTTAGAAGCTCCCTATAAAATAAATGACTATCATGGGATGTTGAAGGGAAAAAGAAACTGAGGAATGTTTCTGTTCACTAAACCTGGTGGTGTGTGTGTGTGTGTGTGTGTGTGTGTGTGTGTGTGTGTTTCTGTTGAATGCGTGCACCGAGCATATAAACATTGTACAATCATTCAGGTCAAAGCGGCGGTTTATTCAGCAACACTGCTCCTGGTGTTTATTTCAGTCTCAGTTTGATCTATGTTTACACCGCTTGCGTGCACAGAAATGGAAGAGTGTGTGTGTGTGTCTGTGTGTTTGGGCGCCGTGCCGTCCTACCTCACCCTTCTGACGCTAAGCTGCTTTAGCTTGATCACCATCTGTTCAGCCAGTCTGTGTTTGTGCACAGAGACTCACACTCTTCTTCACCCACTTGTGTGAACACACACAAACACATACACACAGACAGAAAAACTGGAGCAGCACCGCTTGCGTTCAGACCTTAGCCAGCCGCCCCGGTGGTGCCTGCTGCAGAGACAGCGTGTTGTTTAGCTGTGAAATGGGAGTTTTCACATTACTGCTGAGGCTGTGCTGAGTGCAATTTGCTGTGGGATGTGTAATTCACAGAAGGCTGCTGCAGGTAGTGAGAGTCATACTGGAGGGTAGCAGTGTCGCTAGTTAAAAGCTGCTCTTCTGGTGAACCCAGCTGACTATTGCATTTCCCAGTTCACCCACAGGACAGTGTGGAAAAGATCAAAAGCCACAAAAACATGCAGTGGTGCTCAGCAGTGAGCTGTCATTTTTATCCAGTCAACTTCAGACTGGCTCTCAAGCCATGTTTTGTTTTTTGTTTACTTATAGTTTTTTTTTTTTTTTTTTAATATGTGGATCGTCTTTACATGTGCTTTCAAAGTAGCTTGAGTTGGGGGTATTGTAACCAAGGCAACAGATGGAAGATGACAACTTTTTAAAATCTCTATTCTAAAGTTGGGTATTAATATTCAAGCAGGTTTTAAGAAAAATGGCGTTCGGTATGGCTGATTCATTATGACAGCATTGTTGATCATAGTTATTATACTCAGTATTGCAATCTCAGTTATTTAATATGACAAAATCAGGCCTATTCCTACATTACAGGGGATATCCTGCAACCTTAGATGCAACTGAAACAAGAAGACATCTGAGAGCTCCGTGAAGGCAGCTCACTCTCTGGGCAGGATTCACTTTCAAGGAAATCATTTAGTATTTTGTAAATTTTCATGCATGTCAAATATTTACTCAAGTAACATAGTTTTAAATAGCTCTGTATAGTATTATCACTTTGAGATTCATATCAATCTACTGACCTTGAAGGAGAGGTCCAATGATACTTAAAATCCACTCTATATACCTACAAAGATTTATTGTAAGGAAAACAACAGTCATTTGATGATGTTCGTATGTTTATTTATTTTTTGCTTTTAATGAGAAATGCCAGATTTAGACTATTTACCAGCTGCAGAAATTCTTCTAAACGAGAGAGGGAAAAAAAGTTTTGAGTCAAAACATGTTTTATTCTGATTTAGTTCCACAGTGAAGACAAAAGGGGACAATTTGCATGTAGAAGGAATCACAGTTGGTAGTTTTTTGTTTTTTAAATCCCAATTCTCATCAGATAGGAGAAGAAATATATTTGCATACCTCCACTAATAAAGGAGGTGTGCGCAGAACACTCACCTCCATCATTTGGCTGCAAAACCTGATGGAAGATCAGCATAATTCATGCTGCTTCTCACTCTCTGTGTGGTTATACGTACATACACATATGATTACATCACAGTCTAAAAGTCCAGTTCATTACTTCTCATCCTCCATCTCCTTTAAATACCACCTTACTAACAGCAGTCAGTGGACCTCGACTGTGTGCTCCTGTTAAACTTGGTGCATCTGGGGACAGTTTTCAGGGGTAATCAGACAGAAAGAACGTGGATGGGATTATGCTCCACCATGTCTATTCTTATACATTCTTACTCATTGCTTCATGTGTTTGAATCTGCCTCCACTCTCCGCTGCTAAACCTTATGCTGTCAACACGTTCGCTTTTTAATCACACATCGATACACATTATTCTTCAGTGTCCGGGTCACTTCAAACCTATTACCCAGGCGCTGTGAGTGCACCTGCAGCCAGGCGCTGTATTTAGCCGGTGTCCTGCTGCTGTAGTGCACTGTAACCCTGACCTGCTGGCTTGTTAAATCTGAACCATCAGTGGTAGACCTGTGTTTATCCCAGTGACTGAATCGGATGATGCACACGCTCTGCAGGAGGGATGATTCATGGTGTGGACCTCAGCGATGAGAGCCATAGTCCAGCTGTGGCTTAATTGCATGTACTGATATTCTGCTGCACTCAGTACACTCCCCTGGGGTTACTATTTCAACACTATTTTATTTCTTTTGTGTTTTAAAAACAAAAAAACCCCATCCTTTGTTAAGTCTTTGAGCTTGTCATCACATAATTTTGTAACAGTTCACTAGCAGAAAATTGATGTGACACAATAGAGGCATGGGCTTAATGGAGCCTTCTTTCCCCTTAATGCAGCTGGCATGAAAAGTTTTAAATTAATCATGCATCAAATGACTGTTTGTATATAATGTGGTCACTCACGGTAATTAACACAGAGATTCATCATGACTCTGAAGCCCCCCCTCTCTGGAGTATTCAGCTCTTCACTTTGCTGGTTTTGGTTTCACATCCCGTGTTTTCAGTTGCACAGTAACAACAACTGCAGTTTTCTGCACTCACTTAAAAAAGCTACCTTTGTCTCCTGGGCACAGCATAAAGTAAGTATTTAGTATCTACAGAGCAGACATTGCCCTCTAGAGTTGCTGGAATCCAAAACAAGGTTTACTTCAGCACAGAGTGCCAGCTCTGGATGTTTGTTGGTAGCCTGCAGGTGCATCACTGTGCTCTGGAGAGCCATATGTATGTGGCATCTTTAGCTCAGCCTCAGACGAAGAGGAGCTGTATTTGTAAAGGAAGTTCCTTGTAGATAAAGTGAAACTGTTTGTCCACTGCAGCCATTCTCTCTGCTTCTCATGCATGCTTTTTGTTGCAAGCCCCACTGTTATTCTGTTTTCTGACAAACTCAGCTTTTTAATAAATCTCCATTAGAGACATGCATAATATCTGGTTGTCAGGCTGCAGAATGGTGCTACTTTTCCAAAGACTGTACACAAGTGGCTGCATGTAGGTTGACAGCCCACAGTCCCCTTTTCTTTGTAGCCAAACACAAGCTTAGGACCACAACTTCCACCTAAGTTTTAAGTGTGTTACATAGTCGGGAATCGAAAATGTGATGTGGCGACAGCCCTGCCGTGCACGCTGAAAAGTGACACTGCTCATTGCAGCAGTGTTTGAAATACGAAGCTTATTTCTGCTGCCACCATGTGCCAGTTTTTGTTCGCTTAATGGATTTTTGTTAACAAGCCACGTGTTCCCTTTTTTCTCCATGTGTTCTTCAGGGGTCCCTTCAGTGTGGTGAGGAGATGCATCAACAGAGAGACGGGGCAGCAGTTTGCTGTCAAAATCGTGGATGTGGCCCAGTTCACCTCCAGCCCTGGTCTCAGCACAGAGGGTAAGAGATCACTTTTCTGTCATCCCATTAGTCACTCTCTGCTGTTTGGGCTTGTTCCTCAGTATAGCTGGAGGTAAGTGCTTTTATTCATCTTGCTTTGTTAAATACTGAAAGTTGATGCAGAGGAGAGGTCAGATGCTCGCCCTTGTTTGCGTGTGTGAGTTTTTTTTGTTTGTTTGTTTGTTTTGTTTCAAACAAATCCTCTGAGCACACTTGCTCTTCTAAACACTGCCCTACTTTTCATTCACTTGGTTGCTCACAGCCACACCAGGGAGATTCCCAGTTCAGTCATAGTCGTCTGATGTTGTCTTTGGGCTTTTATTGCTGAAGCAGTTAATTACTGAGCCATTCTGAGGGCACCTTGAGAGTGATTGTTCAGGAACGACGTGTGCTGTCTCCACTGTTCACTGCCTTTAGCTTTGATTTTAGTGAAACTTTCCAAATCAAATGAAACACGATTTTCATACCATTGACCATATTTTTAGCTCACACTGGATTTGTGGATTCAGATGGTAAATTTATAGTTCATGTGACTGTTAAAGTAAAAAAATTGTTAAAAAAAAAAAAGCAAAAAAAAAAGCATTATTTGCATCATTGGCACATTTATGACTTTAATGTGTTGATGTAGTGTGGCTCCAGTCCAGGAAATTCTAAAGTCTAAACAAAACATGCAGGTCTTATCGGATATCTCCCGCAGGCTGAAGGAGAGGTGGAGGGAAGGGCTGAGAGAACAAGAGAGGAGGAGAGATTGAATTAAAGATATTTGTAGGGTGGAGTTGAGGTGATAAGAAACTATTAGGTGAACTGAGAAAGGAGAGATGGTAGAAAGAGAATCCAAGTTGTGTTTGTGTGTGTGTGTGTTGTGTGTGTGTGTGTGTGTGTGTGTGTGTGTGTTTGTGTGTGTGTGTGTGTGTGTCTGTGTGTGTGTGTGTGTGTGTGGGTGTGTGTTGTGTGTGTGTGTGTGTGTGTGTGTGTGTGTGTGTGTGTGTGTGTATTTGGAAAGGAATAAAGAGACCTGCTCTCTTCCATGACGTTTGCTTATGAAGGTGCTGGATGGAACAACACTATTTAGCCTATTAAGAGACAAGCAGAGAAAGAGACAAATAATTTTATTCACTGAGTCTTGTGTTTAACCCTTTAAAGACTGAACCATGAAATAATTGCTGGAAATTTTTAATTTTCATATTTTAGTTTTTCATTTATTTGGATTGTTTATTTAACCTTCTGACATTTTTTTGTAATCACGCTAATGATGTAGGAATCTCAGAAACTCATGTATGAAGTATGATACACTAGGCATACACTAGTTCTTTAGGTCAATACCGGTCCGTGAGTTGTTTGGTACCGGGACGTGAGAGTTGAGGCTCGGGTGTGAAATTTATGGTTTTCAGGGTTTTTATTGTTAACTCAGTTTCCCTGAGTCTTTTCCTGTGTGTTATGAATACATTTTCTATACATTTTCATGTACTTTATATTTGTTTCGTAGTTGTGTGTCTTATTTTGAAAGAAATATTTACACGTTACCATAGTGACCAGAGAGCATTAAGATGCAGAGAGGAGGATGCTACTCTCAGTGTTGTTGGAGGACGCTGCTAGTAAAGTTACACAATTACACAGTAAATTCGTGTTTATGATATTTACAAAATACCACAGTTTTTGTCTTGGTCGTATCGTTTTATTTTGTTGTATTATCTGCAACACCTTAAAGGCCGGTCTGTGAAAATATTGTCTGACATTAAACCAGTCCGTGGCGCAAAAAAGGTTGGAGACCGCTGCTCTAAGCGATCAGTGTGAGCAACGGGCAGAACGATTACATTCTCTTCCACTAGAGGGCAGTACTACTACCTGCTCTAATAAAATGGTTTGCCAACTGCCAGTAAAACAGAAGAAGACAAAGTGGAAATTACATAATAGTCATGCTGTGAGTCAATACAATGCAAAATAGCAATAGATAAATATTAGAAAAGAAAAAGTAGTCAATCTGACCTGGGTCCTGGAGAAAATTCAGGCTGAGATGAAGGCCCTAGCAAGAGTAGTGGTCAGAAGCAAAAAAGGTATACTGGGGACAAACCGAGACAATTCCACTATGCCTGGTGTGGGGGAAAAATTATCAATATGCTTTTCGTGAGATTTTTGTTGGTGCCGTGCCGTGTGATTTTTCTAATGTGAAATATGTGCTATGGCTTCAAAATGTTGGGAAACACTGTCGTAGAGGATGTTCTGATTGTTCTCTTTAAAATTGTGTGGTCTTTGTGAAGTGGCCCTATAGAAATATGAGTATGAAAATATAAAACTGAATTGAACTGAGTTATTAATTAAGGTTGTTGCGTGTGCTTTGTAACTGTGTATTACTCCTCCATATATTGCCACTGAAAGAGCTGGCAAGTCTTTGATTGGCCGTGTGACCGTGCATATATGCTATGCTCTCGAGACAATTAATGATTCTCAGAGCGGCTTTACTGCCACATTACGCAGTAGCCTTCTTTACCTCGTGTAATTCATTCTCACTGATCTGTGCGACATAATCCAGCGTGAGGCGCTGTAGTTTAGTAGAGCTTCAATACAGCACACATAACATGCTCAGCCAATTTGTGCAGTGTGACTTTAGAGTGTGACTTTTAAAGTGATGTCTACAGAAAGCTGCAGATCTCACTTTAAGCAACTGCATATTCCAAGTCTGTGTTTGAGTCTAGTTTTGTGACAGTAACGCATAATAGGTTTAATAAACCTAAAATAAATAACAATAATCTAGCAAAGTGAGGAAACAATGGCAAATCTGAGAGATTTAAAGAGAGAGCAGTGTGTAGGTCTGGTCTCCTAATGAGAATCTCACATCCTTTTTTTTCATGTCTCACCCTCTTGTCTTACCTCTAAACAAGTGTTACTTCAGAAGAAAAGATAAAGAGCTTTTTTTTCATGTTACTGACTGAGTACAGGCCCTCTGTTAAACTCAACAAAATTATAACACACATCTAATTGAACAGTTAGTAACTCTTGCAGCCAGTTAGAAAACAAGCCCAACAATGAGATTAAAACAATGGAAAACAATGATTTTAAAAATTAATTTCTGTTCTACAGTACTGTGCACCAATTTTGTTACACTAATATATCCACACATGCATATGTAAAACGTATCATAACTTAGGGTTTGTTTGCTGTTAGCTCTAAAACTTTGCATATTTCAGTCAGGTGTGCAGTGTATTCACTGAGGCCAAATCAGAAATACTTTCAAGAAGCCATTCTTAAAGAAGAGAAATGATGACACGCCAAATTACACAAGAATTGGACTCAAAAGCAGTGACAATGGGTCTTTTAAGTCTACAGCTATCTGTAAAACACGTTGGACCCCCTATCCGGTCGTTAAGTGATGACGTGACGAATCCTACTTCCAGGCCTAAAGTAGTCTGCGTTTAATATAGGGCTGCCACGATTAGTCGACTAG